TTAGCATGGCCCCTGCGCAAGGATGACTCACATAAATCAAGAAATGGTCCAAATTGTTATAAAAAAAAAAAGAATCCTGTCCCCATGTCTCCTCAAACCATTTCCTAAGTTACCGAGGTCATGTCTACTACTCTTTGCTTGTGTCTGGTCCAATCACTTAATATTAATACTGTATGTCTGATCTCTTGTGTAACGAGTGACACGCAGTGACTTGATTGCCATATCTGGCAGAAATTCCCTGCGAAACAACTGGTTGTTTCTATCAGTCCAAATTAGTTTCATAATGATCCCCGTTATTGCTTGAGCATCACGAAGCCAATCCTCTTCGCTCCCTGAAACAAGCCATTCATCCGACAAGTCAAAGGTTTTCTTGGTAAACATATTCCAGTGCCTTATGAACCAGTCCCATATCCTTCGTGATGCAGGGCAGGTTAACCAGAGGTGACGGTCGTTCTCCCAGATCCATCTACACCGGACACACTTCTCGGCAATGTGGTAGCGTCGGTTGTAACTTCCCCTGGCTGAATGGTGAGGTCCATTTTGTTTTGCTATTCTGAGATGGGGACGCKYTTTTTTTTTTTTTTTTTTTTTTTTTGAGGCCTGTCGAATCTGGACAGGACGGCCTTTGAACCCAACTCCATTACCTGTTGAATCTGGACAGGACAGCCTTTGAGGCCTTTTTTATTGTCATTATTGTATTACGGGGACCCCATAGCAGCCACATCCGTGCTCAAGCCTCCAACGCACCCACCAGCAGGTGCGATACCTGCTGCAATACCGGCCAGGGGCCAGCCGGTAGCATCAGGACTGAGCTTCTTCGATGGGCCAGTCACTGTGCCTCCCATCCGGTCCCCTCCCCCTAGGAAGATCAGTATCAGCGGTCTCTGCTCAATGCCACTCGGGGGGACCAACGACACATCTCTAGGTGGCGGGCGCCAAGCTTGTCCAGGAAGGTACATGCGGCCAATGGGGACTGAACCCAAGACCTCCCTCCTGAATGCCACTTGCGTGCCTTAGGCGCTGATCCGACAATACACAAAAACAAAAAAAAATAAGAAAGTCCCAAAAAAGAAGGCAACGGGGAGAACGGGGCCGGAAAAACAAACTCGGACCCCACACGAACGCGATCCACAGGTCTTTCCCAAGTACTGCGGCGGGATTTTTTGGCCTTCCACCGTGACGGACGTTCCTGTGGACCACCATATGGCCGGGCCTCCCGAAGTGGGTGACACGGCATCTGCCAACGGCCAGGAAAGAGTGGAACCTGGCCCAGCCGCTTGTCGCACTGGGACTGCTCCACCGACCCGCGAGTCGTTGTTCGGTCGGTTCAATGCAAACTTTTGAAAATGGGCCGCAGATGGTACCATCCACCGCCACAACGGAAACGCACGCGTGGACGTCGCGGCGTTGCGTCGCTGGTGACAGGGGTGGTCTGCAGGACACGTTGCACACACCATAGCCTTCGACGCGCCGCAGATAACGAAGGTAGACGAGGGCAACTTTCTGAGGCGGAAGCGAGGTGTAAAGGGTCACACACACACAGCCATGTCGTACGCGTGTGAGGAGATGTCACCGACCGAAGCGGTGTTGATGTGCGTGGCTACCGTGCGATGGCTGAGGATGAGGCAATACGTGGCATTCATGGTTGCACTTATCATCTAGCACGTGGCAACGAGCATTGTTGCCTCGTACACGACATCCGCAACAGCTTTCATTTTGGCGGTGGACGACGCACGCAGGCAAGGCCGCGGGAGAGGTCGGCATTTCAGAATCCGCGGTCGGCGGCGTTTTTGGGTGCGCCCTCGTGTCAAGGGGACGTGGGAGGAGCTGCTGATGGAGGGTGCGGAGCACGACGAGAAGTTTCGGTCGTACACGAGGCTCACGAAACCGACGTTCGTTCGCGTTTTGGCCCGCATCGCCCCACACATCCAAAGGCAAGTGACCCCATCATCCCCATGGTGTGCGCCATTGGCAGTGGACTTGAAGTTCGTATTCGCTCTGCACAGATGGGCGACAGGTGGGTATTACCGTCAGTGTGGGAACGACTTCGGCATCGGTCTACACACTATACACAGCGATGTTCGATGCCTCATGATGTTTCCAATGCCCTCTTGTTCGAGTACGGGGACAAACTGCAATGGTCGAGCAGGGCACGTCTGCAAGCAATGCTGGACTACTTCGAGGCGAGAGGATTCCCCGGTTGTTTCGGGCTTGTTGATTGCACCCATATCTACATGAACAAGCCACGTGGAGGGGAGGCGGAGTCATACTACGACAGAACGACGCAATACTCTATTGTCGCTCAAGTCATGTGTGATGAAAATCTTTGAATTCTTGATTTGTGTGGGGGGGCTTCTGGTTCCGTGCACGACTCGCGCGTCTGGCGTCTTTCAGACGTTGGTAATTGTGCGGAGGAGGGGAGGGAGCCATTCGCCAAGTGAACCAACGTGTTGTCTGATGGGACAGTGATTGGGAGGTATGTCTTGGGTGATGCCGGATTTCCTTTGTTGCCATGGTTGATAACCCCTTTCGGGGGCAATGCACGCAATGTAGCGGAATCTGCCTTCGACACGAAGTTATCGGCTCTGCGAGCAAGCATCGAAAGATGCTTCGAGAGGTTGAAAGGCATCTGGCGCTGTTTCAGGCGGCGACACATCCCTAACATGAAAAACATTTGCAAACAGTTCATTGGTTGTTGCATACTTCATAATATCATTATTGACGAGGGTCTTCCTATGGACGAGGACGTGCGTCTTCATGAGCGAGGGGAGGGGCAGCATGCACGGGACCAACGACGGAGAGAAGAAGCAGCGGGAGGCTGTGTAACACTCCGTACGACGTACGGGGGTTTTATCGTACGGTCGTACGTACGGCCGTATGTACAGCCCCGTACGGAAAAAAAAAAAAAAAAACGTTTTTTTTTTTATCTCAAATTTGGTAACGAATTTCAATATGACCCTGAGGCAAAAGTGTTTCAGTTTATTTTTCTGCATAACATATTTTTTCTTCAGATTTTTTTGATTTTTTTTCTTTTTGCTTTTTTTCCGTACATACGGCCCGTACGACCACATGAGCCCGTACGTACGGTCGTACGGACGGATGGACGGCCCGTATTCGTACGGGGGTCTACATAGGCGGGAGGCACTGACATCGACGAAGAAGACGAAGGGGGGGACACAGAGAGAGAGAGAGAGAGAGAGAGAGAGAGAGAGAG